AAAGGGTGAAACACCGAAAGACAGGGCCATGTGGATCATCGGTAGAGGGTGAGCATTAAGTTGTTGCCAGCAGAAGCTCGGACGATTCCCCTCTCCAGAAAGGTGTCACAGGTAGACACAGAGTCAGGCCAGGTATAGCTTCTAGGAAGAGAAAAGAGAGAGAACAAAGTTAAAAGCTGAAATAACAGCAAATAATGCAAAATTGGAGAGTAGTGTGAGAATGTAGCGAAGAGGGTGAAAGTGGTCATTATGTCCTCCAGCAGCCTAAACCTATAGCAGCATAACTATAGAGATAGCTCAGGATAACCTAAGACACTCTAACTATAAGCTTTATCAAAAAAGAAAGTTTTAAGCCTTAAAAGTAGACAGTTTGTCCATCTAGAGCCCACTGATGGTCATTGTTATACTAAAAACCACAACGATTGGGATACATCTCTCCGTCAGATTGATTATAACCATTGGAAAAGAGAGGGGGTCATACAGGTAGCAGAGATGGAGGGTGTGTTTGCACCTCAACCATAACTGAGCCGGTTTAGGCTAAACCTGACTCCCCTTTACTCCATCCAACAGGGAGGAAAGAAGACAGGGTGTCTGCCTCACGGACTAAAACTGGGAGCTGGTTCCACAGGAGAGGAGCCTGATAACTAAAGGATCTGCCTCCCATTCTACTTCTAGAGACTCTAGGAACCACCAGTAAACCTGCAGTCTGAGAACGAAGTGCTCTGTTAGGAATGTATGGAACAATCAGATCTCTGATGTATGACGGAGCTAAATCATTAAGGGCTTTATATGTGAGGAGGAGAATTTTAAATTCTATTCTGGATTTAACAGGGAGCCAATGAAGGGAAACTAAAATAGGAGAAATATGATCTCTCTTTTTAATTTTCATCAGAACTCTTGCTGCAGCATTTTGACTCAGCTGAAGGCTTTTAACTGCATTTTGTTTTAGATTTTAGATAAGAATGGAAGATTGGATATCGGTCTGTAATTTATTAAGTAATCTCGATCAAGCGAAGGTTTCTTAAGCAAAGGTTTAATTACAGCTACCTTAAAAGCTTGTGGTACATATCCATTTACTAAGGATAAATTAATCATATCTAAAATGGGGCTGGTAATCAGAGGAAGCACTTCCTTAAATAATTTGGTTGGGATTGGGTCTAACATACAAGTTGAAGGTTTAGATGAAGCTAATATTTCTGATAACTCAGGAAGCTCCGCAGGATCAAAACAGTCCAAACACAGATCAGGTTCTACAGTTACTTCCAATGTTGTCTCACTTGTTGAGGGTGAAGTAATCATCTTCAGGAGTATGTCTTTGACCTTTGTGGGTTAAGCTACGGTAAACAGTAATATATTTAGTCTTGATTTAAAGAAGCCAACAATCGTTGGTTCTAAAGCTGGAAACACTGAATGAATAGCTGTCTGAAGACCTGAGGGGTCTACATCATCTATAGCTGACCAGAATACCTGAAATGTATTTAGGTCTAAGACCATTCAGAGCCTTATAGACCATCAAAAAAATGATAAATTATATTATTTTACAAACAGGGAACCAGATAAGGGCTCAAGGACTGATATGGGACAATTTGTTCTGGTGTGGGTTAGGACTCAGCAACATTTTGCATAAGCTGAATTTGTTTGCAAAGATCCGTAATGAAACCATTACAATAGTTGAACATTTTCAAAATAAAAGAATGCCTTAGTGTTTGTGTGTCCTATTTTGGTAAGAATCCCTTTATTCAGGTAATGTTTTTTGAGTTGAAAGTAGGCCAATTTGTAAATAAACTTTACTTAGTTGTGAAAATCTAGGTTTGGGTCTGTGATGACACCTGATTGAGTTCTGATCTCCAACCGTGCATATATGGGACAAAAAACATTAGCTTCTGCCTTTCCTCCATTAAGTTGGAGCAAATTCTGACCCAACCATTCATAGATATTTTGGACAGTCTGACTCAGTGAATGAAGTGAGCTATGGACAAGTGGCGAGACAGAAATACAAAGTAGTATGTTATCAGCATAGCTATTGTAAGAGACATTGTAGTGATTGTCAATCTGAGCTTCTGGGAGATGTCAAATAAAAGTGGTCCAAGAATTGAAACTTGAGGAACCACATGGGTTTATCAGATGACACATAGTGGTCCCGGACTCTCACATGAAACCTGAACCACTTTATGACAGTACCAGACAATCCTGCCCACACTTCTGACCTTTCAGGATGTTATGATCAACTGTGTCAAATGCAGCACTGACATCCAGTAAAATAATATGTTGATTATTACAGTAATCAAAATGTGCTTAACTTTATTTCTTAAAAAATAAAAAAGCAGTAGCAGTAATAAATCACAAAGAACAGAGAATTAAGTTTTGGGGGTTATTTTTGGTCTGCAGGTTTAGTATTTAGTCATTTGAAATGCATCCAAACAGACAGATTTGTCCTTTTTGTAATCAGGGTAAAAGGTTAGAAGCCAGCAGACCAGCAGTTTGTGGCAATAGCTGGGAGGGGCAGCAAAGCATAACTGTATGCTCCATACAGCCAGAGAACATGTTGTTGCTCCAGCCCTTTCAACCTTTAGGAAGGTTTGAAGGAAACTTCCAACAGTTTTGACTTACTAATTGTAACAACTTAAGACCGACCCATCACTACTTTTATGCTTGTTCTTATATTCATGCCAATGTCACGCTTCCTTATTTATACTATTTTGTTTACAAAAGAACATATGATTAATAAGTGCATTATTGTTTGCTTTGGAACTAATTGTTATCTTAAAGAAAAAAAATAGTTTAATTGATGGATATGCAAAGGGGATTATTTAATCAGAAAAAAAATATTTTTTTTTAGATTTTGTGACACCAGTGGCTTTTATTCAGACATTCAAACATGCATAATTTCTCACAATGTTAGTAAAGATATAAGCTAATAAGTAGGCTGCCAATCACAGTTAAGGGGTTTACTTTTAGGGGTTTAGTCTGCAGGTTTACTCAGTGTTTCGTAAGTGGAATTATTTATAAACAGCAAAATGTGTCTGTCTTGTAAGGAAGGGAAAAGTTCAGAAGTCTTCTTTTAACCAGTCCACTGGCAACAGGTAGGGGAGGAGTATTGCCTTGTAACTCCACTCAGGTCACTTTCAACGGTTAAAACTGAAAACGTCAACAGTTTTAAAACTGTCAATTTTCCACACCTTGGTATACCCTGACACTGACCCACACCTACTCCTAATAGTATCTTCGTAGTACGGCTGAGTATTTAGCAAAGAGATCTGGAAAAAAGTAAACACTCACTTGAAAATGTGGCGTTTCTGCAGACAGTAATGAGCCATCACCTCCTCAGAGGGCCACACACCTAAATCAGAGAGAGCAAAAAGGAAATAAGTAAATGAAAATGCCCGACAGATGTCATATCCCTGCGACACAACGAAGCATCTCTAGTGTGAGAACAGATTTGGATCCCTGTGTCTCAACATCACAGCACATCAGCATTGATATCATACCCAAGTAAACACAATGGCAGTTCCGTCAAACATAAACGGAGGGATTGTGTTTTCCAGCCTGTGTTCATTTGCTTCTGTTGTGGCTTCCACCTTGCCTGTGATCCAAGGCTTCTCTGTCTACACGTCTGTCTCTCCATCCGTCTATCCTAAATCCCTGCAACACACTACCTAGTTGGCCATTGTGTATGCAAGTGTGTAGGAGCGAGTGTGTGTGAGACAGGGGGTCCGGTGTGTGATAATCACAGTGTGCAGGCCTGCCTGGCTTATCACCTACAGTCAGCCCTTCTCCTTCTGCCGTGCAAGTAACACACACTAAAACACACGCACTAACTCACTACGAACTATTTCCTCTCTCTTTTTATTGCACACACATTCACAACCAGGGACAAATACGCACATCTTGGCAGCTAAAGAAGTAAACATTCATTTGAATAAAACTTCAGCTTCTGGCTTTGAACAAGAAGGTTCGCCTTGACGCTGCCTGTGTGTAAAGTGTGTACGTCCACGGTTCTGTGTGTGCGTACGCGCTGAAGTTTTTGAAAAGGAGAAAAACTGAGAGGATATAGAATAAGTTGGAGAAAGCAAAAGCGAGCGAGGAAGACAGAGAAAATGAGCAAGGTAAGGGAAGAAAACAGGGGAGGGCTGGTGGAGGAGAGAGAAAAGGTGATAGTCGATATAATAAGCGGCTTACAGGCGGTCTCTCATCACCTCATAGGGCAGACATCCCTGCCCTCTCCTTTTCCCCTATTCACTCTTTCGCTAACTCTCCCGCTACCCTCGCTCCGGTCCGCCAAGATTAGCTCAAGCAAGCAGGATTTAATAATGCCTATTGATAAAATGTCCAAATATTCCTTTTCCCCATTAGAAAAAAAACACTCTTTCAAGTGTGGTGAGACAGTGCGCACACACAAACACATGCACACACGCACACACACAGGACTAAAGTGGTAAATAGCAAGAAGACATGAACCACGGTGACATTTTAAATTTCATCATCTGATTTGTCCCCAGCGAGAAGCTTGTCACAGCAGGAAAAACTTCACAATGTCAAGAGTTGCAAGAGTCAGTTTAGCAGCAGTTGTATAGTTGACTGAAGTGCAAAGCTCATCTCATCTCAACTTGTGTTGTTTGCAGTTAATACACTGCAAATGTTTTGTGTTGTTTGCAGTTAATACACTGCAAATGTTTTGTGTTGTTTGCAGTTAATACACTGCAAATGTTTGTTTTTATGTAGCTTTTTTTCCAATGTAATGGTGTCTATTTTTACTTCCAGGATTCCCTACACTATCTGTGTCTCCAGACCGACACATTGCAGGTTCTCAGATTCAATTCTTAAATCCGACAGTGCTGTTAAAAAGTATTTGCCCCCTAAAAGACTTCTTCAGCTTTTGTTGTTTTGTTTTAGGTTTTTTTTTGTTTTTTTTTTAAAGAATTTTTCGGCACTAGAGGCCTTTATTTTTGACAGTAGGCAGACAGGAAGGAGGGGCAAAGAGAGGGGGAGACATTCGGCAAAGGTCGCCGGGTCCGGGACTCGAACCCGGGAGTTCGCTTCGAGGACTATAGCCTCTATATGTGCGCTAACCCCTACACCACCAGCGCCATGCCCTATTTGTTTTTTTTTTAATCAGACTTAATTTTCACATCATCAAATAAAGATATCCTGAGTAAATACTATTTATTTGCTTTTCAGACCAACCTGGCTCTTTGTTCAATCATGAATTACCTGGGAATAAACATACTTTATCCAGGACTGATTACTGAAAGACCTCTAGATTCGAAAAAATACTCAACCTTTTTGTCAACATGAGGGCCGAATATCTAACAATTCCTGTACATTGTGTCATTTTTTATAGATAATAATGAGTCTCTGAATATTTCAGCGTGCCTAGATAAAAAAAAGTTCATGACTACATAAGAAACAAAGTTAGTGACAGCCTAGAAAAAGCTAAAAAAAACATTTCTAAGGCTTTGGGGTTCAAGCAAACCCCAGTGAGAGCCATTATCCGCAAATGGGACAACATCTAAAGCTCTGCAAGCCTTATTTGCCACAGTTAAGCTCAAAATTTGTGATTCAAGAAGGTGGAAACCACTGCTGATTAAAATGAACTCAAAGGCCCATCTCACATTTGGCAACAAAACATCTTGATGATCCCTAGTATTGTAAAACAAAGATTCATTAGACTAATGATCCAAAAGTGGAACATTTTAAAAGGTTGCATACTGTTCCACTTGGAGTAAAATTGACACAGGATTTCAGAAACAGAACACCATACCCACAGTCAATCATGGTGGTGGTAGTGTGATGGTCCGGGCTGTTTTACTTCTTCAAGACCTGGATGACTTTACCACAACTATGAACTCTGCTTTCTACCAGAAAACACAAAAGGGGAATGTTTGACCATCAACCTTTGACCTTTAGCTCAAGCACACTTGGTTCACGCAGCAGGGCAATGACACAAAGCACACCAACAAGTTCACATCTGAATGACTTCAAAAAGCTAAACAAAAATCCAACTCCACTGATTCATTTGCAGTTATTACGAACACTTAATAACAGATCTTCCTGCCAATGTTGGTACACCCACTTATTAGACGTAGCACATGATTATTTTTTTATATAGGGTCAGCTTGATTTGGATTGTTTGTTTACACTAATAAATTAAATCACCAGGTTTTCTTTGTCTGATATTAAAATCTGATGGTCTGAAACCTTCATGTCTGACAAAAAATAAAGCAAAAAGAGAACAAATCTGAAAGGGAGCAAATATTTTTTCACTAAAATGTCCTCCACCCTCAAATTAAGTTGCAATTACACACATAAAGAAAAACACCCTCTTCTCTCTCTAATCTCAAACAGGTAGAACATAAGAGCTTAGTGAGCATTTCTGACTTTAAAGCAGGAAAACGAACAACAAAAGATTAGCAAACGATTGAGTTATTAATAGTTTACAATTTGAGGTGTTTTTAGGTTTCTAAAATACTGGACGGTTAGCCCAGGTTGGAAATGTCTATATAACAGCAGCAATATATATTTTTTGTTAGCAGCTGTAGTAAAAAAGTAAGAAAAACAAAATGTAAATAATTAAAACGACAAGATTTTTTACTTATTCATTAGAACAGAAGATGTTTTCGCTCTTTGTTTCATGAACTCCAAAAACATTTTAGATCCCCTCAATATATAGTTGTAGGTTTAATTCCAGTTGTTTCCCCAACCACATATCCATGTGCCTTTTGGCTAGGCACTTGGTTTATGAATCTGTGCGTGCTTGTAACTTCACAAACCGTCTTGAGATTTATAGTCAAGACAGTTTTTGTGTTAGAGTAAAAATTTCAAGTCTCTATCCAGCTATAACAAGCTTAGCTTAGTCCAATTTGTTATCAAACTGAGCTTTTAAACCCTGATGGAGCTGCTGCCAATGATCTCAGATGGAGTTGTCCAGAGGTTTACACCCCATTGTTACAATAGATTTTAAAACATCAGTACTATTTCATTAGTTATATTTTAGACTGCAGGAAAGATTGCTGCTTTGAAGAAGCATAAATTAGGCTGAAAAATATGCAGTTTATGTTTTACAGAAATAACATGATTCCAGGTGTAAAAATTCGAATTTTGAAAAATGCAAAAATAATTTCCCTAAAAGACTTGGTCATCTTCAAGATTATTCAAAAAGCAGAGATATTTTGCTTTTATTTGCACTTTAATCAAAAAAAATAAACTCACACATCTTACTGTAGTTGTGGCTGTCAGGGAAAAGGTTGACACTCTACTGTGTTAGAATAGCTTTGTGATTTATGCCTCAATCACAGAACAAATCTTTTTTGTTTTGTTTAATCATGAGGACAAATAAAAAAAAGGTTTGAATGTAACAAATTTATTTAAATGTCTAAAACATATATAAAATAAATGCAGCACACTGTGGTTCTATAAGATATCCTGTGCTTACAAATAGAACATTTCCATTTATATTGTTCAATGCTTAAAATATCCTGTGCTGGTATGCATGTTGAAACTCCTCAGTGTCATCTGATTTAAACGTTGACCCCTTTTTCCCTGATTATGTGCTCACATGTAACATAATTGCACGTAAGCAGACATCTTTGGCTTGTGAAGTGACAGTTCAGCTCCTCCCCTGCAAGTCAGCACATGACACTTGACATGAAGGGTTCCCCCCAAAAACATCTAGGGCAGATGAACAGTAGAGGGTGGTAATGTAACATTAAACTGGGTGTAGTCCACCACTCAGTGCAGAGGCAGAAGACAATATGAAGGTTTTTCCTGAGGTTTTAATGCTGCATAAGACTAAGGGAACCAAACATTATTGCACTGTTATCTCAGGGATCCGTCAGGCATTTCTACATCTGCTCACGTGAAACAGTGAGAACATCTGTGGTTGTGGTGTGAAGGAAAAGAAAAGTAGTCAGACTGCACCCTGATGATCTACTAAAGGCCTTTTTCTGCTCTCCAAATTGTGACCATACTCCAAGATTGCCTTGTCTTTACTCAAAGCTATGTCTGTGTGTGTTCATGTGTGGGTGAGATTGAGACAACTCAAAGTAATAGGGCTTTGTAAAGCATATGTGAACCTGATGGTTAATCCACATCTCCAATAACATTAATAGCACAGGGTGATAAAAACTGTGTGCTGTGTGTATGTGTAGCTGCATGTGGGATAAGTATGTGGTTCATATGTCTGTGTGTGTGTGTGTGTGTGTGTGTGTGTGTGTGTGTGTGTGTGTGTGTGTGTGTGTGTGTGAGAGAGAGAGAGAAACAGAGAAACCTTCCCAGGTCAAGAGGCACTGTAGGAAATGAAGGGATCAGGAACAGAGAGCAGATTACTCTTCCTGAGGATAATGAAATTATTTCTCACCTTCAATTACCTGATGAGGGACAGGAAATAGTTTTGCGTTTCTGTGTATGTGTGTGAGTTTCTGTTCAATATAGTTATTGGTCTCAGGAACCACCCCTTGTCAACAGTGTAATCTGTTATTTCAGAAATGAACGTGTTTTGTTGCAAAATGTGCATATCAACCTGAGACTAAAAGCAGAACACCTTGTATATATGCTGACTGAAGCTAGTTATAGAGTGGCATAATCCACCGTGAAAATGTACAGGTATGAGCTAAAAGGCCATTCAGAGAGGAAGAAGCAACTTACGCCAAAAGCTACATTGAAAGCTGGATTTCAGACTGCAAATGCACTCAGGGACACGAATTCAACACGATTCAAGAACAGGTTCCAGAGTGTGATGCTCTAAAAAAGTCCCAGCCTCTGTTTTCACGTAGACAACGGTTTGTCCCTGTGTGGGGCCGACCAGTTTGCCGACCAGTTTAAAACCCACAGAGATATCAACGGCAACATATCAACAATAAAAATGGTGGATTCCAGAGCACTTACTTGTGCTGCTGACTCTTTTCAATCTAATGACGGTTCTCCAACAAACTGTTTATTTTCTCCCCCATTTTTTAAGCAGGAAATGTTTGCACACGTTATTGATTTTCAAAGATTATACCGCCTGCTTTTGGCATCGCGAGGGAATTACACTGTTTTCACGTTTCTACTGGCGTTGTGTGCACAGAGATCATAACTACAATGTTGTCATGTAGATGTGTCAACAGAAACAGAAAAACAATCCAGTTTTCAATAAATCGGCATTTAAAGAGTTATTTCACGTTCTTTAGCTTAAAGCAATGTTTTAAGGATTCTTTAAAATACACAACAATGCTTTTCTCATGTTACATCTGAAGTAGAGGCTGACATTTTTTTGGGAATCCCGAGGGACGGGAGACAGCGTTAGTAAAGATCATGTGATTGGGACGGTACAGGATAAAAAATGAACGGGAGCAGACGGGAGCGGGAGCTAACCAATAGGAGGGAAAATAAACTAGGATCAATTGTCTTTGGAAATGTAAAACTGAGAATTTGTTATAAATTTTAAGAAAAAAAAACTTGGCTCGACGCCGCCATTGTGTAGTTTTTTCCAAGAAGCATATACTATAATGCGAGTCAAACGAACTACAAGACCCACAAGCCAACAGTGCTTCTGATCGACGTTTTCCATCTGCGTTCAGAATGGAGGGAGCAAACGCAGGTGGAGAACTTGACGTGGTAAAATTGGATTTGCAACGTAAAGTCAGAAGTAAGGACTTATCTGACAGGAAAGTCGCAAATATTACCGAACTTCAGGAGAGTTGAATACAGCGGTGTTAACACGCAGTATGCTGCTTGTAAAAGGTGTTTAGTCGTAATCAAGTACACCAGTGATTAAGGCAAACTTTTTAGGCAAATTCTGGATTGAATCAGTCCTGCATCTCTTCAAGTCTCATCTGACCAACAAAATTGCTCGCATGTGCACTAAAGATTTAAGAGCCTTTGCCACAGTAGAGGGGAAAGGTACGGAGCAAGCGAGGGGACATGGGGGTTATTTATTTTTCTTTCGCATCCCCACGCAATACTTTTGCGTTTGCTCGCAAAAGTTGTTAATCACCTTGAGAAAGCTGTGCATTTTGGAACAGCAGCACAGATGACAAACTGCGTACAAAACAAACAGCACTGATATGGTTTATTTGTCATATGCAGGTTAACATGCAGCTAACAACGC